GAGAGAGTTTTATAAAGGGTGCGTTGTTGAGAGAGGGGATACTCTCATCTTTCCAGAGAGAGAGAGAAAAATGCTGGGTTGAAACGTTTGATTGAGATGTGATAATATTAGTTGGTTAGGGCATAACTTGTATTTAAACATATAAGGGTATATCAGGTATTTCCAAGTCTCACAGGGCGGTCTCTCTCACTCACGCTCTCACTCTCTCTCTCTCTCTCTATATATATATATATATATCTCTCTATATATATATATATATATATATATATATATATATATATATATATATATATATATATATATATATATATATATATATATATATATATATATATATATATATATATATATATATATATATAGTATATTTTATTTAGAGTAAAATAAAGTAAATATTAAATATTGTTTTTACCTTATTGCCTATGTTGGATTCTCAATGTCTTTCCTTTATGAAACTGGATGTTCTTATTTTTTTAAATTCACGAAAAAATCTCCAAAACTTTAGAAAATATTGAAACTCATGTAATTTAGAATTTCGAAATTTCCATAAGTTTTGGAATTGGAAAGATTTTATAGGTTTCGAAAATTTTAGAATTGAAATTGTAATTTGTTTTGTACTTCCGAAAAAAATTGGAAAATTTCTGAAAAGGTTAATTTCGATCCGTTCCATCCGATTTTCACCCTTATTTTTTTCTATTGAAACTTAACTTCAGTAAAATCGTAAACAAAGATGGTGCATTCAATACGGACCAACATTTTTTAAGCAAATAAAAAATAATCCATGAACTTTGTACAAAATAAAATATTTATTTTAGATATAATAGATTAATCATATATCCCAAACTAAAATGTAAAAATAAATCAGCTTATTGCATTTTTAAGCGCACCAACATGGCACGTTATAAATAGTAGTACGTCATCCAGCACAAGTGTAAAGTCCGCTGTACATATTTCGGCTGAGTTAGACCCGACGACCCGGTTAGTGTTGAGACCGAGTCAAGGGTCAATTTGACTCAAATTCCTTCCTGGAAAAATGCATCTTATTGATTAATTTATTTATTTTATTATATCATCATAGAATATTATTTTTCATTTCTGAATTATTAATACCATAACAATATAATCTTCAGTGAATATAGTTTGCCTAGAGAAACACTAAGATTAGGGCATGTGTAGACGGTAGATGTGACCACATTGGCCCCGTGTCAGAGACGTAGGTGGAAAACCTGCACCAGGATGTGGACTGAAAGGAGATTCACCAGTTAACAACGAGCTCGCTTAAGGCAATTAAGAGCAACCACGAAGAAGACTTGGGTCCAAACAAGAGTAAGCATCCCCACTTCAGTAGGTAAAAAGAGCTCGCGTCAAGTCACGTTACTTTACACGTGCATCGTGGCCTGACAGGACAGGGGTCCCACCAGACTCATTCATATGGCAGGTATAAATACAACCGTGAAAGTCAACGTAAGCGGGAGAGAAGTTCCTTCTTTAAGAAATATTATATTCAGTAATTCTTTGAGAGAAATATTGTTTTCCACTTTACCCGATTAACTCGACTGTCGGCGTGCCGGAAAACCTTCCCTGACACTCCTTTTGAGCAGGTCCCTTAATTAGGCAGTTGAGCGCGCTCCTCTTTGGACGGGTTCTCTCTCATCTTGGGTTCTCTTCATTCTCCATTCGGTATTATTTCTATTATTATTATTATTATTATTATTATTATTATTATTATTATTATTATTATTATTATTATTATTATTATTATTATTATTATTATTATTATTATTATTATTATTATTATTATTATTATTATTATTATTATTATTATCAAGTCAATATAGTCTTCATCAAGTGGGCCCGTCTGTGGAAATCGGTATCCTTGAACCTATGAATGTTGAGGGGAGCCGGTAGTTATGAAGTCGCAGAGGGGGATCACGTAGCCTGCGTATGATCATGGACGAATCTACCGGGGGCAGATTCGGCCGGCGATAAAGGCCCCCGCGCCAGTTCGAAGGACGGGTAAACTCGAAGCGAGAGCAAGGGCACGTGGCGTAGGGATGTCTCTCATCCGGTTCAACTCCGATGACCGCGAGCATGGGATATGTCTTTAAAATAATGAAATGTTTTTTACAGTTTGAAAATTGCTATCTACGGTTTATAACAAAAAACACTTTATCTCTCTAAAACCCCAAAACTTCCCAAAAAAATCCAAAAACCCCCCAAACTGCAAATAGCAAAAAAAAAAAAAAAAAAAAAAAAAAAATTTCGAAAATTCGAAATCAAGCTTGAAGAAGGGTTGGGCTTCGATTTTTTGAGGTAATTTCGACTCTTTTATGTGTAATATGCATTGGGTAGGTCAATTACTGAACCAATTTCATGTTAAAAAGTCCTACAAATCGATTTGTAGGGCTTTTTTTTCGCAAAAATATGTTGGAATGCCCAAGATGGGCGCCCAAGGCGTGTATGAACGCCCGTTCCGGGCGTACGTACACGCCTTGGGCACCCATCTTGGGCGTACAATTAAAAAAAAAAAAATTGCACTGGACGCCCAAGTCAGGCGCCCAAATGCAGCTTGCACGCCCAACTTGGGCGTGCACTGCATGAATGGGCGCCCAAGTTGGGCTTTTACGCGTTCAAGGGGGTAACCTCGATTTTCCTGGGAAGTTTCAGGGGTTTAAGAGAGATAACGTGTCTACGTTATAAGCCGTAAATAGCAATTTTCAAACCGTAAAAAGCAAGTCCCTTAAAATATCGCTAATCTCAAATCAAAATGACAAAAATGGGCCACAAAAATACTTTCGAACATTGCCCTTAGGTCGTCTACGTACGCCTTCCTTTAGGTTGTTAGATATGTATGAGATTTCGTGCTCCTTAGAACAAGACAAGAATTTTGTTTTACTCCTCCTACGTATCTTTAGTGACGAAAACTATAAATGCTCTCAATCGACATGCTAATTAAGCATGACGTATAGAGAAAACGATATCATTTCAACAATTGGTCGATCATGTTAGATTTCACTTGATCGCTTGTTCATGATTAATATTCATCTTTGTCGGTCATCGTCAAGTAATAAGAGTACAAAAGCAACTCATTAAATGTTAAGAATCGAATCGTACATGTCGTACTAGTATTCAAATTCTTATGTTATGTTATTTATTTAACACGTGTTTGTTATTCGACAATAAAAATAAATAGTTTTATTTCAACTCCGACGTGAAGTTAAAGTTACCTAACGTATTTTAAGTTACTCATCTAAGCCAACTCCGGATCGATCAATCGATTTTACACTTAATATCTAATTAAAAGACAAAATGAATTTATATCACGAGCTACTACAAACTTAGGCAACATTCCGAAAGCTTTCTAAATTATTTTCGCTCTTTCCATTTTCAAAATATGTGTTTGTTAAGAAAACTAGTAATTGTACCCGTGCGATGCACGGGACAACAAATTGCATTGTTTTGATGTTGTAAGAATATAAACAAACGTTTGATGTATCGTATGATCAAAATTCTATTATACTGGAACATCATTAAGTATACTACACACAAAAAAAGGAAATAACTTTACTATTGAATAATTTTCCAAATGAATTGAATCAGCTAATACCAGTAGATTGAAAATTTGAACCAGGAAAAAAATCATCAACTATGTCTTTCATGTTGAGCTTAAAAGTAATTAGATTTAATAACTTAGTTAACATAATCAAAACTAAACTATCGACAACATAAAAGGCCATCTATACATCTTGCATCGGAACTAAGCCCTTCTCCACTGCCTCATTTTCAGGCTGTTTTGCCACTGGAATTAACAATTGGAAAATTAAGAAACAAAAATAAATATAAACAATAAATTAAATATCGCATACAAACAATAAGTCTTGAAGGTCGACTACCAATAGCTTGTGGCTCCGCCCATTTTTGGTTAATTCTCTCAAATCATCCATTTCAATAACATGTCCAATAACATATAAAATGAAATAATTGTTATACATAAAATTTGAAAACTTTGGTATAAATTAATGAAACACATAATTTAACAAAATGAAATTACCTATAAGCCATGATGGAAAAAGATGTAAACTAATTGCCACACAGTCAATAGGATGAAGAAGATAAAAAACAAAATCTAAAGTCGGGTTACCAAAAGAAGAAGCCTTAGGTAGGGAAGAAATAAAATTCAAATGTTGCAGACATTATGTAAAACGATGTCACAAAATTCGCTAGGGATGAAAATCAGATTTATTTACCCTTTTCTGTAAAAATCGAAAATCAGATTATTATAAATAATATCTAGGAGAATTTGATGAAAATCGATAATAATATTTAAAATAATATTTAGGAGATATAAATTTGATAAAAAAATCAAAAAATAATATTTAGGAGATAAAAATCTGATAAAAATCGAAAATAAAATTTAAAACAATAGTTAGAAGATAAAAACTTGATAAAAATCGAAAATAATATTTCAAATAATGTTAATGAGATAAAAGTTGATAAAATACGAAAATAATAATTAGAATAATATTTAGGAGATAAAATATGATTAAAATCAAAATTATTATTTAAAATAATATTTAGGAGATAAAAATTTGATAAAAATCGAAAATAATGTTTAGGAGACAATAATCTGATAAAAAAACAAAATTAATATTTGGGAGATAAAAAACTAATAAAAACGTGATAAAACTCGAAAAAAATATTTAAAATATTATTTAGGAGATACAACTTTGATAAAATTCGAAAATAATATTTAGGAGATAAAAATCTGCTAAAAGTTGAAAATTATATTTAAAATTATAGTTAGGAGATATAAAATTTATAAAATTAAAAAAATATTATTTATAATAATATTTAGGAGATAAAAATTTGATAAAAATAAAAAATAATATTTAGGAGACAAAAATCTGATAAAAATAAAAAATAATATTTAAAATAATATTTAGGGGATACAAATATGATAAAATTCGAAAATAATATTTAAAATAATATTAAGGAGATAAAAATTTGATAAAAATTGAAAAAAATTACAAATATGACATTAGGGTTTCTTAGGGTTGCCTAGCGTTTCTTCTTATATATAAGATTAAAAATATATTATTTATAATAATATTTAGGAGATAAAAATTTGATAAAAATAAAAAATAATATTTAGGAGACAAAAATCTGATAAAAATAAAAAATAATATTTAGGGGATACAAATATGATAAAATTCGAAAATAATATTTAAAATAATATTAAGGAGATAAAAATTTGATAAAAATTGAAAAAAATTACAAATATGACATTAGGGTTTCTTAGGGTTGCCTAGCGTTTCTTTCTTTTATATATGAAGGAGATACAACTTTGATAAAATTCAAAAATAATATTTAGGAGATAAAAATCTGCTAAAAGTTGAAAATTATATTTAAAATTATAGTTAGGAGATATAAAATTGATAAAATTAAAAAAATATTATTTATAATAATATTTAGGAGATAAAAATTTGATAAAAATAAAAAATAATATTTAGGAGACAAAAATCTGATAAAAATAAAAAATAATATTTAAAATAATATTTAGGGGATACAAATATGATAAAATTCGAAAATAATATTTAAAACAATATTAAGGAGATAAAAATTTGATAAAAATTGAAAAAAATTACAAATATGACATTAGGGTTTCTTAGGGTTGCCTAGCGTTTCTTCTTATATATAAGATTAAAAAAATATTATTTATAATAATATTTAGGAGATAAAAATTTGATAAAAATAAAAAATAATATTTAGGAGACAAAAATCTGATAAAAATAAAAAATAATATTTAAAATAATATTTAGGGGATACAAATATGATAAAATTCGAAAATAATATTTAAAATAATATTAAGGAGATAAAAATTTGATAAAAATTGAAAAAAATTACAAATATGACATTAGGGTTTCTTAGGGTTGCCTAGCGTTTCTTTCTTTTATATATAAGATAAATTTAATTATGGAGTTAAGATTTTCAAAAATCTTTATTTAATAAATTTATTAAAGTACCAATAAGCATATCTCTAATTTAAATTCTTCATTTAATATACCATTAATCCAACACTTATTTGATATTTCATACATAATTTCACTCCAATACAAAAAATCTCATCTCAATCCACAATTTAAAAAGCTACCAAGTACTAACTAACATTAACTTTTTCCCTTAAAAACAATTCCCAAAATACCCTCAACTCCAAGAACAAATTTGGAAATGTTCCCTACAAATGTTTGGGGCAAAGCGTAATTAACAAGCACCAGCTGTAATTTGAGAACAAAAAAACCTATCCAAAACTAGCTCATTAGCCCTCTGCTTCGGTGGCGCCTTCGGCGGCTCCACCACAAACAGTGGCGGTGCCGCCGCCGACGCCGCCAACTGCAAGGGTTTCCCCTGCCACTTGGCCTGCATGTATTCGTGTTTCCGCCATGGAGCCAAGTACATTTTTTTCTCCTTCATGCATTTCTTAGAACAAGTGCACAGTATGTTCACGAGATCGGTCAGCCTTTCGGATTTAGCGACGAAAACTTCTGGTAATTTAGCGACCAACTTTTTGTACTCGTCGCTTGCTCTTGCCATTTCGAACTCGTCGCGAAAGTTCAACTCTATTATTACTTTCTTCTCTCTTTTTTGCGACGAACCTGGCTTTCTCTCCGTCACTTCCAGATACGTGTGTTGCCCTGCAAATAAACAAAAAAAATAAATAAAAAATAAAAAAAATAGTGCGCGCGTGAGTTTGAATGCGCGTGAGTGTACCTGCGGGAATTTTCTTGGAAGATTTCCAGTTAGAATGGCAGACAACACAATCGAAACCCGAAACCCGAAGCTGAACGGAAACTTCTTTCATAATACAACTCCGGCAACCAACGGCAGCCATTCTCCGGCGGCAAGAGCAGCGGACGCCGCCGCCGTCGGAATTCAACTTCCTTACAACATCCTTTGTAGCCCGTCTGATCTTAGACTCAAACAACGTTGTCCTGAACAAATGTTCCTGTAAGAAGATTAAAAAAAAAAGATTAAAAAAATTAAATAAAATAGTTTAGAAAATAAATAAATAATTAATAAACCTGGAGAAGTTTGTCGTGAGAATCCCAAAAGGCAGCTTTCCGCTCGTCGCCGCCATTAGAGCTAGTTTTCTCGTCGTCTTCTTCTTCATCTTCCCAAGGAATTAAACCTGGAACTTGATAATATGACTGCGTGGGTTTCTCGTAATTATTCATACGGACCTCTATTTTTTTATTATTATTTTTTTCTTAGCTATGAAGCTAAATTCATTTTAGGGGGTGTTTAAATAGAATCATGCGGTTGGGCAATGTGGGCCCCACGGGTTGTCCACGTGGACGAACTAGCCGCTGCGTGCATGGCTGTCAATTGTATTGCTTACTCGGAGAAGTTAATGTTGGATGATTTGTTAGTGTGTTAATGTAATTTTGGATAAGTTTTTCCCTTTTTTTTTTTTTTAAGTGATTCAAAATGGTTTATCCGAATATTGTAACTAGTGCTAATTAAGCATATATCTGAATATTCTCCTCAACAAATTTTGTGATGCTTTTGTGCTTGGAGAATTGTCCACATACACTTAAACCTCTGTAAATTAGTGCAGTCAGGACCAAGGAAATTCAATTAATTTAGCGAATTATTAAATTATCGAGTTAATAGTTTGACACGTTTTTACCGAGTTGGGACTGAAAGAAACTATTATTTAATTGAGGTTCTTATATGTTTCTTCTATAGTTTACGTTAGCGCACGCGCATGGATTAGTGTGAGCGCGCGACAAAAAAAAAAAAAAAAAAAAAGACATGTCACGCTGGATATGTACCCAAAGCGCGCGAAACTGAATCTGCCAAATTTCGGGATTTGAGCATAATAAACTTCTTTTATAGCATCACTTGCCAAAAAAACTAAAACAAGATTCCTTTTCAAGAAAATAGACTCCAATTTTTTCCATAGGCCAAAAAATACCCAACTCAAGATGATTTACTATTTTACGTACATAAAACATTTGATTCGATAAGCTCGTTTATCGCCTTTTCACTTAAATAAGTGGAAAAAGCCCCCATCAAAACACAACAACAACAATCTCTCCTCCTAAATATTCCTCCTCTCCCAGACGAAAAGATCAAAACATTCTAAAATAGTGAAGATCAATCCTCACCCAAGAAAGAAATATATCTATACACATACGATAATTTACATAGCAACTATATATATAACGAGGAAGGGGGTGGGGGGGTACGGTGTGCTCTAGCCAATACTCTGATTGGAGAGATAGAGTTGATTAGCCGAGAAATGATGCAACTCTTGAGGGCGAACTCGACCACCTCCTCGAGTTTTGTCATGCCTTATTCTACGAGCTGCTTCTTGGATTCTTCGTTCGTGCTCTTTTAGCACCTGCTCTATATTATTTGAAGGCGCTATTAAAGGACCGGAAAAGTGGATCGTCCTCTCTTTTTGATTATGCGAATCCTGCCCACGTAAAAAAAAATTAAATTAAATTACTAAAAAAATGGTTTTAGATGGCTACGACGTCACGTGAATGGCCAATTAAGCAAGAAAATGAAGCAATAGTGCTATAAGGAAACATAAAGAAATATTCTATATCTCAAATTCCGTACTTATATTTTTCCAAAATAACGTTCCTTCTGCAAAAAAGGAAAATAAAATTGAACACTACTAATTCCTGATGACCACTTCTAATTACACCAATCTTGATTATAAAAATCTTCTACATGATACGGAGTCGACTAAAGAGGTGTTTGCAAAAGCTTTTGAGAACTGATTACGAGCTTTTTTTGGCTTATAATCAGTTTTAAAGTCTTTGCAAAAACAACTTTCGCTTGTGCTTCTCTAAAAATAAGTCGTTTAAAACACTTCTGCAAATAACTACCAGTTTTACATTCATACCCTTATTATTTTTATCTGAATTTTTTTTATAATATTTTTACAACAAGAAAGCTAAAAATTAAAGTTGATTTGCAAACACCTACAACTTTTAAATTGACTACTTAAAGTTGATATTTTTGTAGGATTTGCGAACACCTGCAACTTTTATGTATAAACTTTTATTTTCAACTTTACGCGTAATCACCAACTTCTACTTATTCAAAAGCTTTTGCAAACACCACCTAAGACTTGAAGAACTTACACACAACACAAAAGCAGCAGCTAGAAAAAAAAGAGTACTAGAAATTAAAAAAGAAAAAAAAAACTCACCATAACAGGTTCTTTCATGCTCATTCTTCCAATATCCGATTGTTGCGAGCCGGAATATAAGTGCATTTGGGGCCTTCTATTATCATTCCTTTTCATTCGATCCCCAAACGACTCTGAAAAATTAGCTACTTGATTTGTAGCTTCCAAACGAGAAGAAGCTAACTCGTCTCGCGATTGTATGGACGAAAAAGCCCTTGATGCCACCAACCCTGATAGAGAAGATAGATTGTTTCTGTTGGAAATAATCGAAGTGTCCTCGTTTTTCCTTCCAAGAGGACCTGAGTGAGAAACTCTCTGTGGAGGGTTTTGCATTTGATCTTTGCTCGTTTCTCTCAAACCTTGTGTAGGTCTTTGTCGATCGAATGGAAAACCGGAAGCAGATTCCTCCTTGTGAGGGTTGAACAATTCGCTTTGCCCATGCCTCCTCTGAAACACAATTTCAAACCATTGGTGCATAACAGAGAACTGAACTCGATTTTTTTTTTCTTTTTATGCAATGGCTTGATAGGCAATTTATGCGATGTAATTTCATTCTTGGAAACAAATCACAGGTTGACTCAACTGATGCAATTTATCCAAAACTATCTGGTAAACTAAAATTTTGAAAACCGAAATTCTACAAGTTGAGTAGGAAAAAGATATGCACCACCAGATTTAATTAGCAGTAGTGGGCCTTATGAAACAGAGTAAGTTAGGGGGCCGCCGCCCCTTCAAATGTTTCTTTTAATAGGGTTTTTTTTTTTTTTAAATTATATAGTTTAGTGTATTTGCCCCCAAAAAAGTAAAATACCCACTTATAATGCATAGTTTCTAAGTTTGAGGAGTTAATTAAAAATTTCTTATTTATTGTTGCTTTTTCAAAATACCCCTAAAACAATTCGGATACCCAAAGTTTATTATTTCCAAAATTGCAGCTCCCCCAATAAAAAGTCTTTGAAGGGAAGACTGAGTATTATTGACTTCTCAAAAGATAGATGGAATATCAACTCATTAAGGCAACAAGTGAAAATCAACATGTCAAAGTTTTCAATTTCAATTTGAATCGTGAAGAGAAGATGGATAAATATCGTTGAAAATCGAATTTAAGATGCTTCTCAAATATTACCTGCATTGACCTAACTAACTCAGCATTAGCATCGGGTGCTGGAGCAATCCGTGGTTCTTTCGATCTTATCAGACCATTTTCAAGTTTTTGCCTGTAAAAGTAGGTTTCAAGAAATGTAAGACTAAAATATGTGAAGCAAAATCCGGCTGTGAAACTATTTGAGTAACAAATTTGAAATTTTAGCAAATAAGAAACAAAAAAAAAAAATAGAGAAAACCAGAACACACCTTCGTGCTTCCTGTTCTCGATATTTTGCATCTATCTCTTTGCTTGGAGGATATTTCGGTAAACTTGATGGTTCACAAGCAAATGGTACTGTTGTGAAGAACTGTCGGAACGAAAAAGATCAAAATTAAATATTGCTTAAAAATGAAATCAACGGGTCAACATCTTGTATGCGATATTTTAATATTGTTGGACAACTAGAACCACAAGAATGGCATAATCTCCAAATAATTTGGTTCAGATTGAGTACCATTAAACTATGCAATAAGCACACACACACACGCGCGTGCACACACACACACACACACACACACACACACACACATATATATATATATATATATATATATATATATATAAGAGGAGAGAGAGAGAGAGAGAGAGAGAGAGAGAGAGAGAGAGAGAGAGAGAGAGAGAGAGAGAGAGATTACCTCACTGTTAAGAGCAGTAAAGGCAGTTCCTCGATTCGAAGGGTCCATAGAGAGTAAGGTCTCCATGAGCCCTAACGCAGCTTCCGGAAGATCCTTGAAGCTTTCAGCAATTCGCCTTCTATATGGCTGAATAGGCTTAAACTGTGTCGAATAAGGTAATTTCGACTTTCTCCAATAATCCTCAGACGGAGAACCGCAAAGCTTGAATATCTTATGCAACTGCTCAACCTACACAGCCCAAAAAACATCAATCCAGAAAATTACATAACAATGAATATAACCCATTGCTTATTTTATTTATTAATATTTTAATACCTCAGTTCGACCAGGCATTATGGGCTTGCCAGCATAGAGTTCTCCGAGTATACAGCCAGCGCTCCATAAGTCAACAGCAACTCCGTAATTTGTTGCACCAAGTAATAGTTCAGGTGGTCGATACCACAAAGTCACAACACGGCTCGTTAATTGAACTTTCTGTTGATTATCGTAATAACTTGCTAAGCCGAAATCTGCAATCTTTAAGATGCCGTGATTGTTGATTAACAGATTAGAGCCCTTCACATCTCTATGAAGGACACCATTACTGTGACAGTAGTCGAGTCCACTCAGCAGCTGCTGCATATAACATTTCACCTAAAAGGAAAATAAGAGAGATAGTATACTATTAAGCCTTGTTTGAGAATTAAGTTAGGACTGTATAGACAATATAATCAAGATTCTTTAAAATTTTAGGCATTTACGTTTTTCAAGGCCGTGAGTAAAAAAGGGCCCAGATTTTAAATCAGGCATATAAAGTGATCACATATTACATTATGATGTACAATGTAGTCCTAGCCAATTCAATCAATCTTATCAATCCATCGAAATTCCCAAACGAGGCCTTAGTTCATCCACCTAGGCCTTGTTTGGTTCTTAAGATAATCTAATTAAAATCTAATTTTATTATTGGATCATGGGAGGTCTGATAAATAAGCTCCCCCAAAGGCAAGATAGACCATTATAATGTAATATTTCCGGGTCGACCCGGAAAATTATTCGGTTGATCAAACATCAAACAAAGTCTAATTATTTAGTTAATCATGGCTAATCATGGAAAAAAGCTTCAACTACTCGATAATTTAACGGCTTTTTTCACTTTACAATCTCCCATTTGATTGTAAGTGGAGAATGAATCTCATAACCAAGAAAGAACTATGAAGAACAAAAGAAAGAAAGAAAAAAACCTGAGGTTCAGTGAATTTGACACCAGGGAGTGAAGCAAGTCCAGTGAGATCATGCTCCATATACTCGAAGACGAGATATAAACTAGGTGATGTTCTAGAAGTTACCAAGCCTTCCAGCTTAATAATATTCGGGTGATCAAGCCTTCGTAAAATTGAAATCTCCCTTGCCATAAATTTGACACTTTCAGGATCCATATTATCGAAACGTACTTTCTTCAGAGCAACAACTTTGTTGTTCGTGAGATCACGACCCTTGTACACGCTACTGTAAGTTCCTTGGCCAATCTGCAATAATAAAAAAAAAAATCATGGTTAAAAAACTACCACAAGTCCTGAAATACACAAAATGTCTCGAGGAAAGGGGAGCTGAATGTCAATGGTCAATGTTGATAAATATTTTGACTATCTGAAACCTAATGTTCGATATTGATAAATGTTTCTCACAGTAAGAAGAATACTTTCAATAGTCTCTTTACGACTGTTTCACAAAGAGCATGATTCACACCAACTGTTTGTTACCTATGATTGATGAAGAAGATTCTACAATAAAGAGCCTTTCTTACGAACTGAATTTGTTTTCAAGAAAACGAGATATCAACTAAACCAAATCATAGATATTAATCCAATTACTTCGTTGATATGGTTTCCTGAAGAACTCGGAAAAAAAAATACTAAACTCATTTCCATTGGGGGCCAAAAAAAAAACCAACATAAGTCAAACTCGGTTAACAGATTATGACATCCATGATCATGAAATTCAATTTCATTACCGAAAAACAAATACCACACACAATTTTGCAACGAATTCAACAATACCTTGTCCAATTTTTCGAACGTATCGGCTTTTCGTGGGACCCATCCTCTGATAGCTTCACCGGCGACTGCAACCAGCCAAGAAGGCCATCCAGCAGCAACCTGCTCACCTTCAACAGCTCTGGGAATATTCCCCATAACTGGAAAATTGACCATATCTGCAGAACTCCCTCGTTTCTTTTCGTAATAATCGGGCCTCCCCCTTAAAGAACCATTCATTTTCTTATCAACCAACCCAATTTTCATATCAACTTTCTCAAATCTCTCCTTGAGCGAAAAACTCTCATCCCTTTTCGACGAAATCGCTCGGGCCACTCGTAATTCAGATGTCTTCCTCATTAATTCTCTCTGCTTCGGGCTGTCACCGCTGTTTTTAACTGCTGAAGAGGGTTTCCCACACACACAACCCATAATTCTCCCCCAATTTAAAGTACAAACCCCAGCAAATAATTACAAATTACACCCTCCCCTTTTTTTCTTCACTTTCACAGTACCATCTCTGGGTAATTAATTCATCTTACATCTCACGAAATTCATCAACATACTTGAAATCAATCTGAATAATTCAATCTACTACAATCATATATATAAAAAAAAAACCTAAAATACCCAAAAAATTCTTATCGAATTACTTCATGCAAACACACCATCGTACCAAATTCGCTGCAATTGCTGAAATCCTGAATCGGAACAGAGGCGAATTCGCGATTCCTTGATCTTCAGAAGCAAAATTCTTCGAAGTCGGAAAAAAATGACTTGGTCTGGAAGAAGGAAAAAAAATCACAAAAGCTGTGCTTTTATTGACTGTTCAACACGGTTATACATACACATATACATATATATATATATATAAATTGAGGCGATATTATAGTATTATTACATGCATCAGTTTGCGTATGGATGGATATATATATGTAGAGAGAGAAAGAGAGATGAAAAAGGGGGTGCCGGCAGTTTCTCTCTCTAAAAGCAGTTGTGTGTGGGTGTAGTCAAGGACGATGACGGTGTTGGGATTCTCTCTCTGACTTCAAATTATTCTACTTTCTGTTAATATGTTTCTACCTTTTTTTGTTGCTAAATAAATATCTAACGGGTCGGTTTTTTTCTTTTCCTTTTCTTTTTTTTTTTTTTTTTTTTTTTGAATTTGCTAAAAACGGGTCGGGTTGAAATTAGTTTTTTCGAAATTAATTCAATTATTGGGTAAATTACAAACACCCCCGAGGTATAGTTAATTTACAAAACAAACTCCTCTTGTTTGGATAATTACATCTACCTCCTCAACTGTGATTTTTTCTTACATCTCCACCCTTATGATGTCAAATTCAACATAATCATCTAGATTTCGTGGAATGTGGTCTAGTTTGTACTCGTTTTGTGTATAAATACAATTTTTGATGCACCACAATCTGATATATACAAGCCTAAAAACACGTATTATGATCATCTTGCTTCAAAATGTAGAGTTCGAATGTGATAAAACGGGTACAAAAGTAATAATATTCCATATAATCTCGAAGATTCTATTAAATTTGAGGAGTTGAGGGAATGGTTTTAATTATCCAAACAAGAGGGGTGGTTTCATAATTTGATCATACCTCAGGAGTGTGGTTGTAATTTACCCTTCAATTATTTCGGAAGTGAAAAATTGAATCAAATTTTGTTCCGAAAAGATCCAAAATTGGAACCAAAAAACTTGTTTAAAAATTGGGAAATTTTCAAATTGAAATCGGAAGAATTTAGAAATCTGACTCCAATTTCCACCAATTGATTATTATATCTTACTATATGCGTGTGATGATTGATTTACTTAAAATCATTGATATGTATACTTGTGTGGCTGTGTGAATTATCTTGTGAATTTTACCAGATAAAATTAAAAATAAAAATAAAAATAAAAGATAAAAATATCTTATGTATTTTGAAAATCAATAATTTGTGTATATATTTGTTATGATTGACTATTTTCAGCCAGATATTTGTGAGATTATGATTGTGCCAAATCATTTTCCATTCTTAAGTGGAATTGGAGGGAGAATCAGGTGCAACGGGTGTAATATTTTCAGGCTTAATTCCATTTTGTACCCTTGAAATATGATAATTTGGCACTTCGTACCCTTAAAAAGGAATAATATCACTTTGCACCCTCGAAACACAATAATGTATACAATGCACCATAATTGAATATTTAAACCTTAATAAGGATAATCTCATTTTTTCTTTTAGTTTTTTTTTCAGGGTGCATAATAATAAATTAAATTATTATATTATTTCAGCCCAAAATAATTCTAAGCGTACAAAATTCGAAAAAAAAGGGACAGCCACCCCTGAGGTGTGGTCAAATTACGAAAATCCCCTCATGTTTGGGTAATTACAAACCCCCCTCAACTATAAATCTTCTTACACGTCCACCCTTGCGGTTTCAAATTTACTGGAAGCTTTGAGATTATATGGAATATTATCACTGTTGTATCCGTTTTATCCCATACGAGCTCTATATTTTGAAGCAAGATGATCATAAGATGTGTTTTTTGGGGTAATATATATCAAATTGTGGTGCATCAGAAACTGTATTTTTACACAAAACGAGTACAAACTAGAGCATATTCCACGGAATCTAGATGATTATGTTGAATTTGACACCATAAGGGTGGAAGTGTAAGAAGATTCATAGTTGAGGGAGTAGATGTAATTAACCAAACAAGAGGGGGTTTTCGTAGACCATACCTCAGGGAGATAGTTGTAATTTACCCAAAAAATAAAAATTACTGGAAAAAACAAAATCTCACTAAAAATTTCAATTGATGGATTTTTTTATTGTAATTAGTGAAAGTAGTCGGTAGAAATCTTTGAAACAAAATATAATTTTCAAATAATTTGATACCTAAATAGTTCAAAGATATATATTTTTTTAATAGGGTGATAAAATGTATATTTATTTTTGCACTTTATAGTTTCAAAAGGATTGATGAATAAAAAAATTGATTTGACATTTGACATTCTAAAAAATACCACAAAATATCAAATTACTTTCATTAGCTTTAAAAATTTGTCAGTGGTGCATTATATATGAATTATGATTCATTGTGTTTCGAGGGTGCAAGGTGCTATAAAAAAATTAAGGGCACAAAGTGCCATAATGCTATATTTAAGGGTGCAAAATAGTATTAAGCCATATTTTCATAACCAATCTATTGACTGTTTTCTATTCTTGTAGTATCTCTCTACAGTCTATACCACTATTTTTCAATGTCAAATTGTTTGATGTAAAATATCTTAAATATCTTTCTATTATGTTTTGATATATATATATATATATATATATATATATATATATATATATTATTTTTTTTTATTGTATTTCAGTGGTGTTTGCCCAAGTTTTTACAAACAGATTTTGAACGGGGTTTTTTTTTTTTATAATCTATTTTTAGGTGTTTGTAAAAAAAATTATTTATCAAACATCAACTTAAAAACATTAGATCAATTTTATTAATCATCTATCCAAAAATTGGAGAATAAAAAAAATTAAATAAAACATTTACAATGTAAGTACCATAAAAAAATTCAATTTTAACCGATTCAACCAATTTTCTACACGGTTCAATTAGATTTTACCTAAGTCAACTTATTTTCAATACTATTTAGTAGTATTTAATCATCTTTTTTACTTTAATTTTATGTTTTTTTTTTTTTTATTGACAAGAAAACTTACAGCCACTTAAAACATATCATATAACTCTATCTTCAAACAGTGAAATGAGCTCGATCTAAAAAGTATTGGTAAGAGAATTCAAACTCAGGTCAAATAATAATTCGTGCTCGTTTACTTCTTCAATTAAAGTGCACAAGAAATCGAATCAAATGATATCATGCGTGTTCACCTAATTAAGTCACTCCTTGCGAAAATATTTTTGGTCTTCTTTGAGTCAAGTTATATTGTTATTGTACAAGTAGAAGTACAAGTTATTTTAGAATAAGAGATGTCTAATTTTGGCAATTACTTTGACCTTATTTGATTTCCTATATCAAATTATTATGAATCAGATGTGATCCGATTAATTTTCTACAAACTAACTAATATTTAGTTGGTAGATTATACGCTTCTCTACATTAGACCTTGCATTTAATTCTAAGATTCTCGTACGATACGTGAGTTTGTCTATAAAATATGTTATCAAATAACGACATTTAATTTTCGTAGCTGGTTTGAGTAAGTACGAATATTATCAACCAAATGTATTACTAGTCATTGTTATTTAGTTAATAGAACTTAACAATAGTACTAATAGTACGAGAACTTAATAGATGCCCTGCAAAGAGTGGCCTAGTTGGTGGAATAAGAAAGTGCGTGATCTTAAATAACCTGAGTTCGAAACATCTTATAAATTCTTAGTTCGCCTTCTCAATTCTAATTTTATGAAATAGTTCCATTTTAAGAATATATGAAAATACGATTTTTTTTGTTGGATTTTTATCTCAAAAAATAATTCCGTTTCTTTTTCTTTCTTTTTTTGGAAATTATATTTATAAAGCTAATATTATTATATATTTATGCTATATTATGATTATTCAATGTAAAGATTGAAACATAATTTTCAAATTTCATAAGGAGAAGAAAATATTGCGCAAAAAAATCAAACATTTAGATGTCCAAAACAAAATATCTTACATAAGAAGTTAACTTACATAACATGAATAATTTTCTAAAATAAAATTACTATAGAAGAAACTATTCACATGAACTATGTACGTCACCACTAATGAAAAAAATATTTTAATATCAAAAAAATTATGACTAATTTCACTAAATAATAATTAGTTTCCACACTATTTCCTTTTTTTATATATAAAAACTAGGGATTATTTTGTAGACCCCCCTCATTTCCAAATTATATAGAACTAACTACCAAGTGGATTACACTCTAGGTGAAACCCCCCTCATTTCGAAAATATTTTGACATACCCCCCTGGGCTACCCTGAAGTACCTATAATACCCTTCTAAAATCAGTTTTAACCCTAGCCACTCACGGTCTCTCTCTTCTTCTCCCAGATTCAAAATCCCGCCTCTACAAACCTCTCACCGGCAAAATTGCTTCCCGGAGCCATAACTCTCTCTCCGGTGGTCGGAATTCGATGGTTTAGCTACCGTTGGATTCCTCTCGTCGAGCTCTTTCTTTTGGTGGTGATTTCATTCAGTTTCGAGCGCGGATCTATTTCTGCAATTTTTTTTCATTCGAAGACGGTGGTCTTGCCGGAGCTTTATTTTGTGTTCCACCCGTCGAAATTTGACGGGTCATCCACCGTTGGATTCCTCTCGTCTATATTTTTTTGCATTTTCCAGCAATAACCTCTCTCTCTATCTCTCGATCTCTTAATAATGTTTGGTGATTTTTGAGTGTTTTGATGTTTTTATTCAAATTTGTTGATTTGCACTAAAGTAATTTCTTTTTGTTTTGATTTTGCAATTGCAGCTTCATGAAGGTTGATTTGCACTAAAGTAATTTCTTTTTGTTTTGATTTTGCAATTGCAGCTTCATGAAGGCCATTGATCCTTTCCTTGAAGGTGTCAAATTTTTGTTTTTTTAAGTTACATCAGATCTGTTCAACAGACTGTATACATTACTATACATTACTATAGTAACATGTAGTTACATGTAGTTATATATGCGTATATTTATGTATTTTCGTTTTGTATTTTATTGGTTCTGATGTGATTTATAATAAAAATATTAAATTTGTAAATTTTTGTTGGGGTTTTATGAATTATTTTGTACAAGCCAGTATTCGTGTGTGTATACAATTGATCGACTAAAAATATGGGGGAAAAAACCGAAACATAAACTTATTGAAATTACTATAAGGTAGGTTAGTTACGATGGTAAGTTAGATTTCAGGTAACTGTGTAAACCTTAATTGGTTAAAAAATTAAAAAATAAAAA